TGTTAAGAAGGATGTTAGTTTGTTATTGGAGATTTGACTTCTTAACATGGCATTCTATATACTCTGTGCAGTTGTGTGACTTGCTCAAGTCTAGAGTTGAATGCCCGGACTTCCTTGAGAAGTTGGAGTATGCACAGGCGTCAGTTTTGCACAACTCAGCTGGTATGAACTCGGTGAAAATGTTCTGTTTTTGTCTGGGTTTTCAATTTTAGAATGCTGACGAAAGAAAAACTGCTTGGTTTTTGACAGAAGAAGGTAATTCTTGGGATTTTGTTAGCAAAAATGATCTTTGGGAAGGTGAAGATGCTGACTTAGACCAAGAAGATTACGTCCTTGTTAGACAAGAAGATATAGTGGAAGGAATTGCATGTTTCATGGCTGCGTATTTGTTGTCACTGAAGCAAACCAAGGTTCGTATCAGTTTATTCTCTTGTTATTTCAGAGGCGGCTCTACCATACCTTTGAATTTAAGGCCTAGGTATATGGTTACATTCATCATTGTAATGATACTGTTCTGCACTGAGTTGAAAAATGTGTGAAAATATAAATCTGTTGACAGAAAAACACCTTCTAAGTTCTGACATGTCTATGTGAATGAGCACTGCATATGCTTCTCAGTTAGGATGCAAATTCCATACAGTGAAAAATAGCATATATGTTTTCTGAAAGGTTGTGGGGATTGTTCCCCAACCATATGTGAAGTTGTCTTATATGTTTACTGCCATGCTATTTTTATTATTGGTTAAAATTTATTAGAAACTACAAAATTATGAGTAGAGGCTCATTAAATGACTTAGTGGGACTTGTAAAATTGTCATTTCCAACAAATTTCAACCAATAATGAAGAGTACATTTGAAAGACTGTGGTAGAGGAGAGTATGTTCTAACAAACATTTCTTTTATATTTGGGGTTTGTTTAGATAAACTTCTCTAAAAACACTTTGAGAGAAAAAAAAAAAAAGGAAATTCGAAATAATTTTTTTCATAAATTAAAACTAGCTTATGCATAAGTTAAAAACAAGATTTTGGAGGAAGCTAATAGGAGAAAAATTGTACAAATTGCTTATTCATAAGCTATGGAAATTCTTGTTTCATTATTTTTTCCTATTTTTCTTTTATAGAAATATATTTGGAGAAGTTTACATAAGCAGACTCTAATGTATCTATTTTATCTACAGTTTATGTAGTTATTAAATTGTACGATTCATGATTCAAATCACACAATATGATAAGATTTGGCTAGCTAGTGATCTGTATCATGTGAAAAATTGCAGATAACTCTAAATCTTGCATGCATGGATGAATTAGTGCAATTCCATATAACCAATATATATCACATAATTTGGTGACTCACTATTTTTATATATTTTACCTTTCTTTCACAGTTCAGTGACTCACCATTGATCACACCTTATTTGATTATTCAAATGCTTTATTTTCATTCTTATGAAACACGAGAGTTTCAGACTGCCACTCATCCTATGAAGTGTGCACTGTATTTGGCTGTTTTGTTGCTCTGTTTTCAGTCTTTTCATATTTAGGCTTCACAGACTTAGTTGTGACTTATGATTTCGTTTCTTGAGCTCTATAAATGATATATTTCAAGCAATTTGTTTTTGTGTCTTTGAATCTTGCCATTCGATAGGATTTATGATTTACAATTCTAGTTTGACAATTCATTATTTGAATTGCAATTCGATCACTACAGCAGTTTATATTCTTTCTCTAATTGAGTGCTTTGCTTTTTGCAGGATTTGACGCCAAATCAACTCCAGGATGGTGAGTCTGGTTGTTTCCTCCATAGTGATATCTTATTTTTGTTTTGTTCATAACTCCATATGTTCGAGTGAAAAATGGGGAAGTAGAAAGAAACAACTCCTTGGATACCTTTCTCATTCCAGATAAAGTTTTTTGCTCTACTTTAGACAAGTTGTTACCAAGATAAAAGAACGGGAAGGGATTTGTGACTTTTTTTGGGTATGTTTTTATTAGCTCTCAGCAAGACATTTTCTGTGAAAAAGAAAAAGGGAAAGCTTCGAAAGGCATGGGATGGGAGCAAAGTTATTTATAATGTTGCATCATGGGGAGCTACAGCCATTGGGTAAGTGGCCTTACCAAACATACCTCTTCTTTGTAAATATTAAGGAATTGATTAATGAATAATTTAGCTGATGCAATACCTTTGTAAATTGCAAAATCTTGTACCATATTTGCCTATGCAGTTGGCTAACTGTTGGTATGAATTTAATGATGTCTTGTGTTGGACACTGATTTTTGACTTCGGTTATTTTGTCAATTTGTTTTTAACTTGAGTAAAACAACAGAAAAATAAGTGGGACTGTTTTTGCTCTCTTTTGAGCTCATAGTTTCATTTTTATTGATTACTTTCATTTTTTATTCTTGACAGGATATATCAGAATCCTGTTATTGTAAGCGTTGCAAGTAAAGCATTCTGGACTTCTTGTCAAGTTATATCGAAGCTACTCTGATTTGCCAATGCAGCTTGAAGTAAAATTGGGATGTAGAAGTTTGACTGTTGTGTATTTTTTGCTTGTGCTGCAATTTAGTTTGGTTTTTCACACCCTTTGCACCAAAGATCAATTGATCATGTAGTTTGCAATGTAGTTTGATCATGTAAATATCTTTATTCAAACGTTCCGAGTGCTATTCAAATTCTTATTCACAACGTAGGCCCTAATCATAACCTTTGGCTCTCCTGCTGTACCCAACTCAGAACCCAGTTTTAATTCAAATTAAAATTGATTGAAATTATAATAATTTTTAAATTCATTTGATTTTTTAAAAAAATATTTATTTTTAATTTTATATGGTGAGTTGAGAATTAAGTTAAGTTGCAGTGGTGTTGAAAGTCATGCAATTATTATTATTGTTGTTACCACTATTATTGTTATGATGGTGATAGTGCTAACAATAATGATGCTAGTAATAATAAAGTTTAAATATATTTTTAGTCTTTCAAATTAAATTTGTTTTTAGTCTTTCAAATTTAAAATTATTTTTAGTTCCTGTAATTTTAAAAAAATTTATTTTAGTCTTTATATTCAAATTTTGTTAAGAAATTTACTAAATATTATTGTATAAAATTTATTTATTAGTGCTCTTATTAGTGTATAAAAGATCACATTAAATCTAAGTTATATTGTATAATGATCTTAATTTGTACTTTCAGATATGTTACTAGTGATCTGAGAGACTAAAATAAGATTTTTTAAAATATAGAGACTAAAAATAATTTTAAATTTGAGGGATCAAAAATAAATTTATCTTAAATTTGAGGGATTAAAATCATATTTAAGCCTAATAATAATAAGTAGCGGTTATGGTGATAGTTGTGAAGGCAACAATAATACTTCTAAAGGAGAAATGTTTATAATTGAATTTCAATTTCAATGATTAATTGTTTTTACCACTAACCTAAAAGTTATTATTTAATTTTCTTATCTTTCATAATATTACATGCTCTTATTTTATACTTTTTCTATATATAGAGATAGAATTTTATTTTTTTTTTGTATTTCTTGTATCTTATTATCTTATTAATTATAATTCTTAACTTTTAATTTAAACATATTCTTTATATATTTTTAAGGTTAAAGTATTTTTTTAATTTTTATAGTTTCACTTTGTCTTTCGGTCATTATAATTTAAAGTAAATAATTTTAGTCCTTATATTTATTTTTTAAAATTTTTTTTAGCTTTTATAATTTAATATAGATCTTTTTAATCTCTATATTTACAATTTTGTAATCATTTGTCTTTATCATTAATTTTTTTTAATGTCATCTATTTTGTGTTGATTTGATAGAAATCTTCAATTTTGTGAGGATAAAAAGAATGATGTCTTGCAGGTGAGAGTACAAAAGGAGCATAAAGTCTTGATAAATTTAATTTAGAGTAATTTCAATAAAATAAATTTGATATGAGATATAAAAAGTTGAATTAATATTTCTATTACAACAACACAAAAAAGACGTTACAAAAAATTAATGTCAAGAACTAAAAAAATTAAAGAAAAATTATAAATAGAAAAAATTATCTTAAACTGTAGGGACTAAAAAAGATTGAAAAAGATAAATATATGGACAAAAAATAACTATTTTAAATTATAGAGACTAAAAGATAAAATAATTAAAATTATAGGGATTAAAAATTACTTTAATCTATTTTCTAAAATAATGCTTATCTAATCAACCTTTTTTTGTATTTTTATTAATATTTTAAAAGTCCAAAGATTCTAAGTTGACTAACTCTTATATTTACAAAGTTATCAGATTAAAGTTTTTATTTTTTCTTTTCAGGATTTTTTATATTATTATTAAGGCACTTAGGCACGTGATGACTGCTTTTATTATTATTTTTTCTTAGGTACGTAATGAAATTAAATTGAATTTTAAAAATAAATAGGTGTTGAAAAGTATAATTTAACCTTTATTTGGTATACATCTACTGGTTCCTGGAAATGATTTAAACCCTTTAACCAAAGTTGTGGCATTAAATGTTTACCTGTGACATTAGGCATGATTCATCACTTGATGACTACTCGTAGTGGTAGCGATTGTAACAATTCACCATCCTGAAAAATTGAATCATGAGGCACGATTGTAACAGTCCACCTATGCTTGAAGCTGCACCAAAGGTTCTTTTCTGTTAAGACATGCGGTACGACTACAAACTTGGGACTCTTCATTTGTTAATTTTCTCCAACGACACATGATTTAGTACTTAGATTGCAAACTTAAGTATCACAAATGAATTAATTTGCTTTTGATAGATATATACACAATCAGTGTAACAAATTTTACACTATCAATTGATAAAAAAAATACTTATGATGACACTTTCCGCAAACTAATTATTTATGGATGACAATATACGAATCCTTTATCGATAGAGCATATATTATTTATTCTTATGTGTTGTAAGACACTGCACTAGTTATCAAATTGCCAAGGATTGACCGGACAGAATGCAAAAAAACATAAAGGAAATGAAACTAATAAATTAATATATTACTACTACCAGGTATTACAATGAGTAATTTACTGTATATATACCATGTGTTAAAAGAATTACTATTGCCATTGAAAGACACATGAATCTTTCTGGGGGAGCAGTTGAGTTGCTTGCTCCTACTACAAAATTGGTGACCCATTCATTCTCTTTTTACCCCCGTGTATTCATTCATCTCTCTTCATATTTACATGTAGTTTTGGCCTAGTAGTAAAAAGTGTTGTCCTTGTTATTGGGAGCATCCTTGCATAGCATGGAACGAACTTCCATGATGGATCTTGGTGCCTCCAGGTCTTTCTCATGCAATGCATTTCCTAGAAGCTGCTGCATGTGTGAGGCAAACGTATCATCCAGAATCTGCACACATTACTTAAGGTCAGAAATCACAACCCCCACATACAATACAAACAAGACAAGGGATGCCTTTTTGGCACGTCCACTATACTGCAGCAGTGTAATGTTTTTTGGGACCAAAACTTGAGGACAGACACATGCATTTTGGTTTTCAAAACTGGCATGTTTGGATAAACTTTTTCAAAAACACTCTTAGGAGGAAAAAACATAAAGATAGTTGAAATAAATTTCACCATAATCTAAAAATAGCCTTATGTGCAAGTTAAAATTAAGATTTTGAAGAAGTTAATAGAAGAGAACTACAAATTAACTTATGTATTGGCTAAGCTTAACTTTTGTATTTTTTTTCTATTTTTTGCTCCTAGATGCAGGGGAGGAGCCAGGGGAACTGGGGAATGCGGTCATCCCCAAAATTTGTAATTCCCTTTGAAACTCCTAGATAAAAATATTTTATGGCACAATAAGAAAAAGAAAAAGAAAATTGGAATTGGAATTGGTCTCTCTTAAACACATCCTGCCTTCCTCCACCACTCTGCTTCCAGAGAAATTTACTCAAATACACTCTAAGAACACAGATTAGTTTAAAGTTAAACTAGAATTGGTTCAGAACCATTGAATGTGGTTTAGAATTCTGAATAAAGTAATCCAAACCATATGTACATTGGATTCCATGTTTTCATTTGAAAATGCAAAATTTATTTTGTAGCTTCACACCAAACAAGGGTTATGTTAACTATACCAAAATCAATTATGACATCAAGGATTTTTGGTGCCTAAAAAAATCAAACACAGAAACACGTGTATTTTTTTTGTTTTACCTAAACAAGCAATATATAAAAGAACATCGTTGTCATTATTCCTAGGTTTGTACAAATAAAAACAGTTAATAATTAAGCCAATAGGATGCTACTTACAGAAACAGCGACCCTTGAACCTTTATACCACGATCTATTCTCTTTTCTGTTCTCCAAGAAACTTAAAATTTCCTGTTAAATAAGAAATACAATAATCAAGATGCAATATCTTAAAAGTGTTTAAAATCTAAAGATGTAATAGGCAGGCAAAAAAATCCAGATGAAAGTGAACTGACCTGTCCCATACGATCCCAATATCCTCGACAGATAGCAATGAAAACATGAGTCTCAAAGACACTGTGAATGTGACTTATGGTATCAGCTAACTGTTCTTTCAGTGGCTGCATTCTACTTCTTAAATCAGACTCCACCACAGTTTCCTTTGAATCTTGAAGAATCTTTTTCAATTTTGTGGTATTCTGTAGCTTTGTCTGAAACAACATAAAAGATGCTATAAGGATACTTGAATACTTTATTAACATTATTCTGAAATGGGAACAAACATGTGAGATATCTTGCACCGCAAAACAATGAACAAACAGTAATTTCACAGGCAACTATAGTTGGTCACATTTGCAATTTGATAGTAATATTCTGGTGTCATACAAACTCTGCTTAGTATTACTCCATTATAAAACCATAAAATGAGTTTCAGAATTTGAAAAGTATTGATATGTGCATAAACATCCTGACTTCAAAACTTTCATTTTCTATCATAAGCAAAGTCATCATGAGTTGACTGACCAAGGGTATCAAATATTGTTATTAAGAACAATAAATTTGTTTCAAAAGGCTACACTAACATTCTCTGCAAGTTTCTCCACAATAGCTTGCACATAGTTCCTGAACTTCGCTCTCAGCATCACTGTCACCTCACTAAGTCGCTCCCCAGGTGTAGTGTTTCCAACATTTGGCAAGCAAGAACCCCATGTTTTGAACTGGGATTCAATCCTAGGACGCAAGGTGTCGAGCATTCTCTTCAAGGAATTCAAATGAATTCCAAGCTGGAAAAAGTAACAAAAGTTTAAACAAAGAATACAACTCCAGAAAAACACATTTAAGATTTTCAGAAATTCAACTCACCTCATCAGGAACCCCATAGGCAGATGTAGATCGTTTGGCAAGTTTTTGGACATATTTAAGCCCGAATTTCTTCGGAGCCATGCTTTCTTTGAGAGGAGATAATACATCTGCATATTGTTTGTCTAAAGCTTCCACGATGGCCTTTTCAATATCAGCAATGGCCTGTTGCAAAAAAAAAAAAAAACTCCATTTAAAAATCATTCATTTTTTATTATTTTGTCCATCTAATACAGCAACATATTTAGAATCTAGGAATTAAAAACTCCTGTGCTGAAAAAGGCCTTTGTAATATGAGAAATAATTGAAAAAAATCCTTAGGGTGGGTATTTGTTATAGAAGTGATGAAAAGATGAGAATGGAAATGGATAGCATCTGAAAGTAGTGGGGAAAAAGGGGGAAAGAAAGATGCAGGATAAATAAAATAATAATAAGATCTTGCATACATTCTCCAAAACCAAAGTATATTCCGGCCAGCGGCAAATGATGACCTCATAGTCTGTCAAGGTCTCCTTCAGCCGCTCATACATGTCATCAACGAAGGGAGTAGTAGAATGTTGTGTTCTAACTCCTGACCATTTCACCTGCAAAGAATTGAGACAACCTGCTGTCACAACATTTTACTACAGAAAAGATGCAGGAACTTGAAACCTAGATCACCTAAAGGAAATATGACAATTTCCTGAAGACACAAAATAGAATGACAAAATTTTGCAATATGTTAAAATAAAGTACCTTATCTAATTTGCATGACTCCAGCAACGATAGACGTTTATCTTGTATCCAAACAAGAATATACAAATGAAACAACTCTTTTGCGTCTACTCCTCCTTTGATGGGACTAAGAAGAAGGAAAAAAAACAAGTTAGATTTGCATAGTAGTAGGGATTCATTCTCTCCAGCTAAAAGCACAGCAGCACTTACTTAATATTCCAGCTTACAAGATCTCTCTGAAAATCTGATGTTGCAATAACAAGTTCTGCTACTGGTGATGATGGACCTGAAGGTGGACAAGATATGAGGAAGGCTCGTAATCTATTGCAAAGCTCTGTGCTGTATATGGAAGCAGAAAGGTTTGGCAGGTCCACAAAGCTGTGAAAAATATTGAAGCGGCAACATTAGAACCTTTACCCTGCAATAGTTTGACAAACTAACACACAAGAATACCTACAACTAAAGATGATATTTGAAAATCATATAATGAAGTTATTAAAATGATGATCCCTATGCCTTAGAGACAAGCTTACAACAAAAGTAATCATTATACTAAGAAAGTTATCCTGTCAAATGTGAATACAGATTCAAGATAACAGCTGTTGTTAAAGAGACAAAATGCAGTAGATAGGAACAAAGGCTAAAATAAAGGAGTTGAGTTCTTTAAGTGTTAAAACAAAACCTACCATATAAACTTAGTTAAAGATGATAAATGATACACATAACCTGTATTAAAGTTCTAGCTAGCAACCTAATACATACAAGAAGTTGTGAGAAATGAATAATACCTAGGAAGTATATTTTGATTATGAATCTGGATATCTGTAAAGATCTCATTTCTAAGATTTACGCATAGGGTTTTCATCTTCTGGTAAGCAGTAGTCATAGCCATGCCATCCATCAAACTGCTTTCATTATTTTGCGTAATATATTCATCTGTTTCACTCAGGTGCCTTTTGGACCTCTTTTTTGCAGCAACCTAAGAAGTTACTTGTCAATTAAATAGATGTGTACACAATTAGCAATTGTCATGATGAAAAATTCAAATTTCTCCAACCTGGAAATAGTGACAAAAGGCAATTTGAGCCTCAGGAGATAAGATATCATGAAGAAGCTTGTAGAGTTTAACAGCAGGTTCCAAGGCAGGTGCTGCATGACCAGTTGCTGGTCTGAAAACCTCTACGATGCCCGAGAAAGATGATTCATCAAGTGCTTTGTAATTCTCAAAGGCAAGAGTAAGTATTTGTTCTATTTGATCCTTGGTCTCTCCAAGTATTCGGTTCTGAATATGAGCAGAAACCATACAATTTAGACTAGACAAAAAAAATCAATATATTTAATAGTAAGCAAATGCTAATAAAACAAGCAGTTCAAGCATATTGCATGCATTTAAAATACAGTATGTTGCAGTGATCAGTTGAAGTTACACCACTCCAATTAAAAAAAAAATGTAATGATACCTCCTGGTGGCTTAAAGAAGTCTTGCCACTACCCTTCATCATAACAGGTGCTAGCAGATTATACACCAAGTTGAGGCAATCTGCTGTTGGTGTTGCCACATCCATGACATAAGATAGATATCTATTTAAACAGAATGTCAAGAACACCGTTAGTATAATAAATTACAAAAGTGTGAAACTACACATTTATGAAATCAAATATTTCAGGGGAAAATTGCAAATCCACAGCACATTACCGCAACTTGGTATATATCTCAGAGACCCCATAATATGATGCAAACTCTGTCAAAAGCCATTTCCATGGACCCTGCAATAATAGGTTCCTTTGTTGAAAACCCTGAACTTTCATTGCAACTTCCATAACTAAGTCATATGCCACTGTCTCTGCTACAGAACCATACTGGGATAACAAGAACGAGACAATAAAATGTGAATATGTGAGGCACATTATATGAGAAAACTCAAGATTTTAGAATAGCACATCATTAAGCAAATGAACACTCCAACACAAAGCACACAATGCATTTCTATATTCCCATATCTGATATGTTGTCAAAGAATAATGATATCTTTGTTTATTTTTCTGTTTTCTGTTGGGGATACCAAAAAACAAAAGGGAGTTGACCACCGGCCTATGAATTGAAAATATAGGGCATATTTTATTTGAGAAATGTTTCCTGTTTTCATTGTTTTGAGGTTCATCATTCCTATAATAATCATTGAAAAGAAGAAACAAATTAAAAACAATGTGGCAATTTGTAATTGTTTCTGAAAGCAGAATGAAAATGGAAAAAATGTTTTTCTTAAACTAAACAGACCCTTACATTGCATCTGACTAAAATCATGCACTGAATACTGATGAACAAATGTAATTACCGTGTAAAATAAAAAAACAAAATACATAATCAAATAGTACTGCATTTTTGGCAGCCCAAAACATGATGGCTTGTTATGTTATCATCACGTAAATTCAGTTCTAGATACCATAACATGGATTCTCAAAATAACTTCAAATATCTATGTAAGAATCCATGGGAAATTACCAGGATGTATAATTATCTTTGCTATTCTAAATAATTTCACATAGAACCCCTACTTTTTTTAGGTTGCCAAGAACTTGATGGTGGTTTAAAAAAGAACATCTCACAAGGTTTGAGGCGGTCAATGCTATAGCTTATATGTCCCAAAAAAAAAAAAGTACTCATTGTTCATAGTACTAACCTTAAGATGACTATTGTCATCTGCACTAGTAGAATAGTTTATATAAAGTTGTAACTTGCCCACAAGCTCATGGTCTGGTTCGCGATAAATAGGCCACCAGCGTAATTTGTCAGCCTGTTTCAGTTGAACATGAATTCTATCATGATGATTGTCACTCGTGACAGGGACCAAAAAAACCCAGAAAAATAAGCAACACATAATATTACCGGATCATCAGCTATAGTAGCCACTTGGACAAGAACACGGCCAAAATGCTTTCCCTTGGAATCTTGAACTTCAACAAGCAAATCATCTCCAAGGCTATCTGGAAAACTGTAAAGTATTCAGAAATTTATTCAGGAGGAACAATCATAAAAGAATAAGAAGACTTAAAAAACAAACGAGAAAAACTTACAACATATGGGCTTCACTAGATCCAGGCTGCAATCTTATGGCATCTTCTTCAACTGTGCTTTTCAGCCTTAAGGAACAGGAGTATGTCTCTGGTCAAATGCATAGGTAGAAAAAATAAATACAATGAAACAAGAACAAGTAAAAAAACCTAAATAGTGAAATGATAATAAAGTAGGTAAATTTAGAACGGAAAACAAATCAAGTAGGCTTGAGTAATAAAATGTGTAAGCAGGTCAAAAAGTCAACCAAAGATCTCCAAATTCAGCAATAACTAGTTATAATGAAATATGGAATGGAATAATTTTTTTAACTCAAGCTGTAACAGGAATACCTTCCGAAGGACTATATCATAATTATTGTTAAGGTTAGTTCCAGCCAGGAAGTGTAAATTATAGCAAGAGCACAATTTTATTTTTCCTGTTAATAAAAAGTCAAGAGAGAAAGGAGGGTTCCCAATTATAAGATCAGGGCGAACCACAAGTGTCAATGAGACCTTACAATACCAGTGGGAATGGGATGACCTTTATGTTGATGTTATTCAATCAAATCCTACCTTTATGTTAACCTCTATAAGACTATAACTACAATACAATTTTAATAGTGATCAAATTGTAAGCTACCAATGATTACCTGATGTGCTAGCATAAATTTCATAATTCTTATAACAATTCTAAGGAGTAAAAAAGCATAATGACACCATTAGTTTCACAGAAGGCCAAAACTCAATTCGACTAATTGCTTCCTAAATTTAAATGTGTCTAGATATTTCATGCATAATCATAATATAAATATTGACAAAGGATTTTTTTCTGACTAATTTTCCTCATAATGCATAGTTATAATGAATAATTATAATGCATGCTGCACTTTTACATACCTTGAACAACTTCATAAGAAGATGAATTATTCCTTAGTGTTGTTACACCAACTTTCAAGAGCCCAGACACCTGCTGTATGTAGCGGGTGCTAGCATGCATATAAGCCAAGCTTTGTCGCGCCAAGGAACCATTTGCAGGCAAGCGTGGTACAAATCTAATTCTTCTGAGAGCTTGCCATCCAGCTGAAAGTGATGATTGCAAATTGGAGAAATGATGTCGCACAGCTTCCATTTTAACTTTGTCCGTGATTAATGATGACATGCTACAGCCAGTAGGAGGGTCCAAGCCCATTTTGACTTTTCTAACTGCAAAGTGAAGAATGTCTCAACTAAGACCCACTTGGGATAAGTTAAATAATTTAACTAGTAAAAGATAACATGAGAATGTACCTTGCACCTTCATCTTGCCAATAAGCTTTTTGGGTTTTGGAGCAACACCCTCACTGGAAAGCTCTGAATTGCACTTCACCATTAGTTCATCTTCTGATTGTAATAGTATCTGCCGCAATCTACATATTCAAAAAACAAAAATCCAATAAGATCTTAAGTAATTGTGAAGGACCAACTATTCAAAAAAATTTGGATAAATAGAGGCACGTGAACGGAATCTTCTAAGCTCAATGTATACTTGCTTCATTGCTGCAGCATAATATAGGTTTTCTTTTTTAAATGTTTTGGCTAGACTCAGAATTAGATAATAAATAACTGTTTAGATTCTTGACAAGATACTATCTACTTATGGAACCAGACCATGTACAGTTAGCAACACTTGTTTCAACATATGGATTATACACACAAGGATCAAGCAAAAGTGTCTTTCCCAGAACTAAATACATCAAGACTCAAGGAAGGAGAGGGAGAAAGAGCAGTGAAGAGACTTGACTTACCCAAATGAATCCCTTAGTAAAGCACATTCATTTTCCAAAAACATAGGAGCTTCCATGCACTGCATTGCCCAAGCATGAAGGCAAAGACGCACACAAGCATCGTATGCAATCACACCATGCCATGGCCCAAGAGCACTGAAATGAATTTACATAAAAAAAAAATATTAGCGTACAGTCAGAGAGAACATTATTCAGCACAATCAAGAAGGGATGGAATACCTTGCATGAAATGTGGGCAGGCGGGGTGGGTGTGAATTTGAAGATGTAGCAGCCTCTGAACCAGTAGCAGTTCTATGAACATAAATTCAGGATTAAATGATATTTGATTGCTGTACATTCCTATAAGTTGTTTGACTAGGAAGTTGTGCATTTTTAAAGAGGTTAAGACCTCAAATGTTCAGAGATACAATTATTATAAAATATACTAACCTAACACATTGTTCAGGGCTCCCATTTTCAACATGGGTTTCTATCTTATCCCCAGGCATAGATTTCAAAGTGCTTGATGCTGCTTTCTTTGGAGTAGTATGTGCTCTAGAAGCAGGAATTCCCTCGTGTGTTCTGATCTCTTGAGTAGAACCACAAAATGGGGGTGCACTGGGAATGTCATCGTCATCATCAGATATTCTCCCATTCTGCGGCTTTTCATAACACAATTCAAGAAGTTAGACTAATTTCAGTTCAGCCATACAAGATATTACAGTTGTCAATGGTAAGCAGTTAAGCACTCAATTCAAAGATGAGAAAATTTTTGGGAAAAACAAGTGACAAAGAAGAGACAGACTGCCCAAACAAAAATAGTGAGTAATGCAGCATCTTCATTATCAAATATAAATTTTATATTATATTACTGTAAGCAGTAGTTTGCATGATCAAATTTGTATTAATTGGTTAAAGAAAATGCCATCCGAATTTTCACAAGAAAAAATTGATAATTACAATTATACTAGAAAAAACATCAGGTGCGCGAATTACAAAAAACTTTCTTAGCCACAATCATATCCTTCCCCTAATTTATCTAGGTGAAAATGTCATTCTCAGTAGTACTGTACGCACATTACAGCCATGCACCATTTCATACCTTTTCTACAGCACTTTTCACGTTCATCCTTGAAGGCACACTAGAAGCATACCCTTCGGACAAATAAGCTCTACTTCTTGGCAGAGCCCCATTGATACTTCCTCCTACCTGCGTGGTAGAGAATTCAGAGCTAGCTGCAGAATCTGATGAATCATCCTCCGTGAAGCCACTCTGCCTTACGTTTGAAGCCCCCCTCATCATCGAATCCCTCATAGTACCAGGTCTCCCAACCAGTGTTTCCCTGGAAGAACTGACCTCAGAGTATGTATAATCACTCACATACCGGGGTCCTCCTTGAGTGAGGTTCCCGTTCCCATATCTCCTAGCAGCGCCATTGACACCTCTACGGTCTTGTGGTGATGAATCCAATGAATACCTGCCACCATAGACTTCTTCCTCCGATTCAATGCTGTCATCATTATCAGAATTTGAACCGCTATCTCCAGTCTCGGCCGGCACAGCTGTTGATACAGGTATAGCATTAGCAGGAAGATGCCCACTTCTGAATTTTGCTGGGGGTGGTAACCCAAACCCTCTGCCAGCACCACTCTTCATCGCACTGATGGGATCATTGCGAGATCTCAATCCAGTGTTTGAGATTGGAACTTCCTTCTAATCACCAACCAAAACAAAACAAGAAAATCAGAACTTTAACAGACATTAATGTGATCTCAGTTGGGGAATGGAACTTCCCTCTAATCACCAACTCAACATAGAAAGGAATAAAAATCACAACCATACAAACATTCATTAAAAAAAAAAAAAAAAAGTAGCATCTTTTACAAATATTAAGCCAAATTAAGAAAACCCCAAAACTGTCAATGAGTGAAGGTTACCTCTCTAACCCATCGAAGTGCATTTCTGTCAAGGCCTTCAGTGAACATCTTAACCTAACCACCAAATCTGAAATAAGCAACCCCTTGATGCAAATGCACTTCCAAATGAGAGGCCTAACATAAAAAGATGAAGCTTTCGATTAAACAAAACAAAGGGTACTATAAGAAATGAAGCATACTACAGCATTCAGCGCAGAGAGTACCAAATGGCAAAAAGAAAGAAACTCTTATTGAGAGAGTGGGGTGGAGAAGAAACCTAATGGGGTGCGAGATTTGAGGGAGAGAAAAAGGCGCTTGCTTACTCAAAAAGCTTGCTTTGTTTAGCACTCACTAACTAAGAGACTGAACAGAAGAATACCATTGTGCGGCTTGTCTCTTACTTTTGTGGGTTTGGTCTGCACTGCACTAATGTTATTCTTTAATGATCTCAATAACAGCAAATTATGACCGTTTATATTATAAAAAATATCAGGAGGTTAATAAAATATTCTACACATCTATACCATTCATTACAATATTTTCTTTATTATTGTTAAATAATCTTCATGAAAAATTTATAAAATTTTACCCAACCGTATAAAAATCTATTATTAGTAACGAAAATACACTGTTATGATTGCTTATGTGTTAGTTTAATCCCCGATTTTGCAAGTATCAAATTTTATATTTAGATATTCCAAAATCAAATTAATCTTCAATGGAAGATTATATTGTGCGAAAAAAAATATATATTTGATTAACTTTTCTACTTTCCTTTTATAGCCTTGTTACTGTAAATATTTAGTACATTGTTATTTAACATATTAAAAAATAACGTGAATTAATTGAAAACACGCTTTCATACACGTAAAACTTTATATAGGAACGTCTTTCAATAAATAATATAATTAAGAAATTGGCTGTATAGAAAAAAGTGTTATAAACGACGACGTATGATTAACAGGATGGTTGATACGACGCCTTGCAGGGCTCAAAAGGACAATCACGCATACTTATTTTACTGATTTTATCACCGACTAAAAAGGAAAAAAATTCGCTGGAAGGGTCCGAAAGTAAAGTGCAAGTAGATTATGAGATACTTGACCAGTGAGAGGAATGGAGAATTAATTTACTTTAATTAAGTTTTTATATACTAATTGAATAATTCAAACAAACATAAAAGATTGGATCGAAACTCGAACGTTATGGTGGGGACACTTTATGGTCCTTGTCTTAAACAATAAAATTCGTAGTTTTGATGAAAAAAAAAAGACCAAAAGCGTCCCCACAAGTGGCATAGGCACATGGTGGTGGTGAGTCACACTTGACGCCTAATCTATTTTTTTGTTATGTTTATATGTTGTTGTCTACTCACGAAACAGCCACAGTTAGGACGGTGAATGAGTGATTGGTTAGTGCAATTGAAGGGAAGATCTGTGTGTTTGTTGTCACAGCCACGAGGAATAATATGCTTCACGTTGACGACTAGAATCGCGAAGGGAAGGGACTTTAATTTGAAATTTTTTGAATGTCAATATAACGATAAACTTTTTATGATATTTGACATTTTCTCATTTCAAATATTTAATCATGACAGTATCATTTTGACGTGGGAATCCCACTCGTACTTGCTTGGTTGTTGCCTTCTGCATTTTACGCTATTGAATGAATGACCCACGCGCCCAACAAACCTTTTAATTTTAATAACACCTCAGTTAGAAGCCTAGAAAACCACATAGTATACGAATAAATAGGAATATGAATTGAATTAAATCAAATATACCCGTTATGTCTTTTTTTTTTGTTATAATGGAGGAATGAAGTAGCAGAAGTTTTGTTAGGGAAGTTAGGTCATAATAAAGGCATGGTGCGGTCTGGTAGACCTGAGCATCCATTCAGCACAAAATAAGGTGTTTTAGTTTGGACTGGATAAATGTGAACGCAATTTTTATTTATGTTTTAAACTTTAAAAATCTAAATTATGAGACAGCCAGGCAACAGTGTTCAAAATTCAATTGACAGCTGCGTGTGAAAGCTTCACTCATGAGGTGACAAATAATTAAGAGTAAAAAAATCAAGGACCAATCCATGGGACAATTCGATATAAAAAAGCTTGAATCGACCCAATGTTATTTTTGTAGCCTGATAGAAACATATTAAGCTGAAATGTCCCCTTTATTGGCTTTATTAGGCAAAACGTCTAATATAAATTCCTAAACGTATGGCTCATGGTGCATACGTTCGCAAGTTTTATCGATACATTATATTATATATCGAAAAAGAAATCAGTTTACACAATTTCATAAAAAATTTCATTGTGTATTAAAAAACTATTAAGCAAAGCCGGGGAATTTATTTGTCAGGATTTGCATTCAGAAGTAAACAGTTGTGACAAAGCAAAACATGACAGACAGAGGATGCACACATGTAAAGGAACGGAATTAAGGTAGCATCACACATTACAATGTATTTCATGTGCCTAATCGGTGAATCTTTTATTCTTATCGTCAACAAGGTATCCAGAAAAGGCTCATAATGACTCTTTTATTGACAAATTCTGGTAAAAGGTCACTAGTCCCATAAATACCAGCTTGCTTAGTTATATATTACCAACCTGATCCTCCATTTCGTTATATGATACATTCAAATGTTGATAAATTAAATATGACTCGAATAGATCACCAAAACTCAACCAACTTTTCAAAAGTCCGTCTAAATTAAAAGAAAAAAAAAATTATCTTCATTGTAGATGGAGAGATCCAACAACCAAAACAATTTATTGCAACCAGCTTTCTTTCTTTCTTTTGATGGGTATTCAAACACATCAATGCCGTTATGAATGAGGGTTTCATTAGTCTAGATCAAGCATAAAGTTCATCAAGATTACACTCCCCAAGAAAAACCTTGATGCTCCGGGGAGAACCACAGTTACCTTCAGCAATCAGTGCTCTGTCGTTGGCAGCCATATGAGCAATGATCTTGTAAATCATTTCAATCTGCAAAAGAAAAAGTAAAGATGTTAATAAATTCATTAGACTCACGGTTCTTAATGATCTGATTAATAAATCTAGTTGAGAAAATTAATAGAGGGGAGCGGGGGGCAAAAGTATGTACATCTTCTGGGGCATGACAACGGTCAGCTACTTCTTCAAGCGTTAATGGTTCGACAGGCTCCTTACAACTGAAAACAAAAACAGAGAAATAGTAATCAGTGATGGATTTAACTGGGATATATACAAGGATGCTATGTACTAAAGATTAATGCGAATTCCATATAATCATATACTGACCCTATTTTTATTATATTTGAAACATATTGACCCTCTTTTTATTACGTCTGATAGATATTGACCCTCTATTTATTATCTGTAAGCATATAACGTGCACAACATTAGAATCTAAGCCACAAGAAGGACAACCATTTTGAATTAATAACGAAATTTCCAAAGGTTATAAGATACTTCTTAGTTATATTACTATAAGATAAGTCAAATGCAACCTAAGTCGACATGATGATAGAAACCCAAGACTCTGCCCCAGGAATCCTGGTTCCGTAGCTAAACGATATAAAAAAACCCACCCATAGAACTCTTCTGCCTTCTGAATTCATACTTTATCCTGACATGCAGTGTATTTTCGAATATTTCTAGCTAAGACAAAGAAGCTTGATATGTACTCTACAAACGTACTACATCATACCTTGCTTCATTTAGCACTGCCAATACCCGCTTCTGAAGTGCTAATACTTCTCCCGCAGCTTTCTTACCAGCTTCCACACCTAATTATCATATTCAAAAGCAGTTAAATGACAATGATGACACTAATTTAGTCACTAATAGAATAAAACAAATTAATTTGCGTCACTTCCTTGCCACCATAGAGCATCGACCACTATGGGGCAGTACTGTTGGTGGTAAGCATTCATGTTAAACCAGACCTAAGAGATCAAATATTTACGGCTAAAGAGATCAAATGTTTAGAGCTTACCAGGTTGGTGATAAGCATTTATGTTAACAAGTGAGGCATATATTCCAACTGCCCGTTCGTAAAGTGCAATAAGGGCGCCAACTGATCTGGGTGTCACTTCTTGCACCGTAACTGTGATGGATTCGCGGTTATTGGCATACAGGGCTGACCTTGTTCCCTGTAGAAACTTCACTTTTTAGTACCATGCAAGCATAATAACTGCAGCTAATCTTAAAAAGAATCACCACCAAATGCAATTAGAAAATATGCTTGATGAATAGGTCAGACCTGTAGCATACCAAACAGGTAATCGCCACATGTGACACCTGGTTCAAGCTCCCAATCGTGACCAGGTGGTCTATCACGTAGCACCTCAATGAATGTCACAAAAAAATTGTGCACACCTTCCCTCAGTTGCTGAATGTAACTGTTTCGGGTAAATTTTTTATTAGACTATTCGAACCAAAAATTATGTCGAACAAACTTTACACTAGACTGAAAACTCACGCATGCTGATCTGTGCTTCCTTTATTTCCATAGACACTGATTCCTTGATTAACCTGCGGAATCAAATTATTTCAGATGGCATTAATTCATTAAGATTTAAAGTGTTTAAGATTAAACATTGTCAGGAATTGTGAGATAACATGTAGCATAAAAGATCCACCATCCTAGGATGTAAATACAAACTAGGACACTTTATCAACAGTCAAAAAGTTAAGTATGATAAAAGCAGGTAAGCTCCATCTAAAAGAGCGAAAGTGTACTCCCTGAATGATTTCCTAACTATAAATAATAAGAGTCCTCTTAGAAAGTGGATTATGAGCCAAACTCAACATTACATAATCGATTTGTCAGAAAAAAGATTGCTTTCCACTTATATAGACACACTAGTGTCGCCATATAATTAGTTAATGTACAAATTGTCTGATAGCAAGTGTCTTAATAAATCCAACAACAATCAATAATGACTTGGATAGACTTTGATACCATCTTAGAAAATAAATTATGAGTCTAACACAATCTTACAAATCAACTTGTAAAATGAGCATTGTTCCACGCTTATACACTAATATGGTCATATCGTAAGTCGATGTGGGATCTCTAACACACAAACAACTCTAAACTAATTAAAGAAAAATCTTTTAGCATTTTCACCCAAAAATGCAGGACAAAGTATGAAAACAATGTTAGTTAGATTTGCTACACATATCACATTCACATACCCGATTACCATCCAAGTCAAACTCCTTGCCTAGAGATTCCATGACCAACTGCTGCAAGTATCTACTAAATAATAACAGGCTGTCCTTATACGGAAGGATAACCATATCCTGAGGAATAAAAAGAAGAAAAAGATCACACTAAGCAATAGTGACACGAAATGATGAAGCAGAAGTCAGTTTCTAATCATTGATAAACTATATGGTCCATACCTTCGATCCTACACCATCCGTAGC